ATGCTTGCAGGAAGGGCCGCTGTTAAGAATAAACTACAATTCCCCTTCCTGTCGCAACTTCAATTGTAATGGCTAACACAGAGGACGAATTTCAGAGAGCCTCCTGATAACATTAAATGGAAAGCTGATAGGATTCCACCTCACGCACTAACACCGATTCGTAACACAGCCTTCAGCTATTTTTCGTTTAAAAAAAGGCCAATTTTAAAACTTAGATGCATGGCAGCATCTCCAGAGGTAAAGTGTGAGGTAATACACCTCTCCTTTATTACCATTTGCTTACCTTATTAGAAAGTTTGAGAACAGGAAAAAAATAACGAATTTGTGACTGGGATGTACCGCAAAAAAGCGGTGGCCTAATCCAAAGCCGATGGGCAGATTTGCATTTCCACAAAAAGCTATAAGAGAATTAACTCAGTGTCAGGCCTTTCAAAATGAGCCAATAAAAGCTAATGTGTACGATTCTGAAGTAGAAATGACGTGCATCCTAGGGATTCGATTGGATATTTCATGATGTCATCTCTAACCAATCAGTTTACGGGGTTTGGAGAACCAATCATCAGAAGGCATTTGAGTAACCAATTAAAAAGGAGCACTAAGCCGAATATAATTATTAAGAAATAACTTTAAATTCCAGAAATCTATATTTTTGTAAATCAAAATGTTTATCTTTTAAAATTATTGCAGGATACTATTAAAAATTAGGTAGTGTTTTACTGTCCCCAATTTAAATTTCGAAAGGAAAAATCGCCACTAACCGTCTGTTCCTTATCACCAATCTGACCAGTTTGGGTAGATAACAAGCCAAGAAAGCTTTCTTTTGATAGTTCCCGTCAGGGACCTTCGATTCTGTCATGGCTTTTCCGTTAAGAAGGCTTTCGCTTCTAAGTGTTGAGGAAATTAAGCTGAGGTAAAACAAAAATTTTGGAGCTTTTAATTTTCAAAATTCCCGTCTCCTGTTCAACTCAATTCATTGTTTCTTCTCTTCACCTCGGAGCTGAGTTGCCATACATTTTACAAGCGGATTCACACCAAATTGGGGACGTATAGAAGGACCACCAGGACCACCCCAAGTTGGAAAAAACTTTGTCTTTTGGGGGACTTTTTCGATCCCTTCAGGTCAACAATTCAATCAGCCAATCTTAAAGTCTCACTATCTGATTGGAGTTCCAAATGCAACTCCAAAAGCAGTAATTTGTTGAGTATGACTAAGTTGAATATGATGTAAACTCTTCAAGGACTGGATTTTCCTCGTCTAGCCCTGGTTCGCAGAACCGCTGCCAAACCAGCCATTCTTGAGAATGGCTAGCTAGTATGTAGAGCATGAGGTACTGAATGAAGGATCAACGCGTGACCCACAGGGTGGCAAAGTCACACAAAAACCAACACTTTCAGTGACAGCAGAGAAGTCATTCGTCATGTACAATTATCCGCGAAGTGGAAGAGTCTAGCGCCCTCTTCAGTCCAGGACTACTTTCCTGTCAAATCTTTCCACTTCTAAGCTGAGTTCCAAGTCACACTCAAACACTGGAATACACATCGTGTTCCTCAAAATCTGACCTTTTTTACCTTTGTCACACCACTAATTTACATCTTTCAGTATTATGCGACTCTGAAAGTGAACTCACGCTGCGGGGTCCACAAGGGTATTCCTCAGGCCAATGGAATCGCATCGCTTAACATCAGTCCAGGAGACTTGAGATTTGCTTCTTGGTAGTGTTTGTCGTCTACGATTGCCGGCGGTCAGTTTTTCATTCCACGAGGAATGCGGGCGGAAGCCCCTAAATGCATCGCCCTCCCTCCCAGCTCTCTTCAACACAGAGGCACCAAGATCCTATGAAAAGAGAGGTAAAGTGTAAAAGCCGGGGACACAGATTCACCATCACCACTTGTTGGCTGGTAAACTATGAGCTATGCGAATGGAATAAATAGAATGGATATAGCAGCTTACTGGGCTTTCAGAGGACTCTGCCATTGCAAGAGAATGTTGGCTATCGACGCGGCAAATTGCAATACGTTTGGGGGATTTTTGATGACGATGGGCAAAAGGAACACTGCCTGCGCGTTGGGTTTCAACTGTCGAGTGACAAAATCAGCTGGAAGATTAATCATTTGCAAGGTGCTCAAAAAGATAATTGCGCTTACTTTACGAAATACAAAGAGTGAAAACTTTAAGAAGGGCATATTGATAAGCAGGTGCAGAAATCCGTCCAAAACACATGAGTAAGTTAAATTTGATGAAAGAAGCCCCCATAAAATAATCAACAAGAGCACACAGTGAGCTAAACCTACATTTTAGCTACCCTTTAGGGATTATTAGGGAACAAGTAAATTCGTAGGCTCTATCACAAAACAATGTGGGTTTCCTCCCATTTTCATCGATCACCTATCCTAGTAGACAGTCAATAGGTCAAATAGACAAACTACCAATCACAATCTGGTCTGCTCACTTCAACCAATAGCAGCTATGGGCCAATCAAAGTTGACCTTCACTTACCAGACCGTTCTAATTGGACGGCTTTTGGAACGTTGGCACTTGCACTTGCACGCAATTCCTGACGCTTAACTTGTGAAAGCGCCTCCAGTTGGTCCCTTGTTTCGTAGCTCAACCATCGCGAAAATGCATTACGACGCAGTGGGGTGTACGACGTTCCGTAGAGCTAATCAAATAAAGGTGCAGCTTCGCACCAGCTTTTAAGTTAGTTATAACAATCAATTTTGCGATTTTCAAGAATCGGTACCTGAGCAATACGCTGGTTCCAAATGCGCATTTGGGTGGCCTCTGACCCCCGGCGCATAGTTATGCTCTTATGAGCTCCTAGACCATGATTTTCAGTTCCTTCTGAGACGCCTAGGGGGCCGACAGAGCCCTGTTGAAGGAGAGAAATCTTGAAAGCGTTGATTGCTTCTAGGCTGACTTTTCCTTGATTTTCGGCCAGAAAGTTGTTGACCAACTGATCGCAACAACAAACGTAATTTTTTCCCATTTCTAAAATGAAATATATCAGTATTAATTTATTTTGTTTCCTGATTGGCCTATATGAATTGCCAATTTGATTGGTTATTAACACCTTATAAAATGCTCAACAATTCTTAGCGGTATTTCCCTACCTTTGTCAACTGAAAAATGCTCTACAAGCGAAGGAGCTGGTCTCAAAGGCAGTGAAAACCTTTTCTGCGCCGGAATCACCCGCATACCAGTGGTAAGAGTATCCTGACGGGCCACACACGATCTCGCTTGTTGATTGGTCAACTCCGAAGGCTCAATTTCAATGTGCTCTAAATTCATTGGTTCAGTAGATTCATCAGTCATATGACCTTCAGGAGGTTCAGATGGCATTTGAGTAGCACAAGCAGACTGAGGTGAAGTCGATGCAGAATTATACTAAAGTGTCAATGGTTTTAGATAAGTAGTAGGTTCAAATGTCAAGGAAGAAATTCACATAATTGCGCATTCAAATGCATGGACTTTTCAATCGCTGCAGGCTCTACTACCGTCATGGTGAAAGAACATCGGCCAATTTAACCGTATCTTTTCACCCCTTTCAAGCTATTTTTATGGCAGTGTGCCTTGATCTTTAAGTTGCAGCAGGTAAGATGGGACTCGCCGTGAATTCGAATAGGATTTAAAGGCTGGTGCCAATTTCTGATAAAAAAAACACATTCGCACTTCTGTTCTATAATTCGCCTGTTCTGGATAGCTTCCACCGAAGAGGGGGTAGGGTCTGTGCAGCGTTGGCATGTCCGCGGCACCATCGGAAGAACGTCGAGGAAAACTGGAAGAATCTGAATAATGTAAAATGGATTCTTTAAAAAAAACTGGCATACTTTTGCCAACTTAGCAATAGTTTAATAAAAATTTAGTTCTAGAAATGATAGCCTTCTCCAATTGGTTAAAGGAATCGAGCCATTTAAGTGGCTTTAATGTCTTCGGTGGTACTTGCATAACCATTTAGCTTAAATTACATTAATTTCGTAAGAGAATTATATTTTTGAAAAAAAAATGAAATTTAGACTCACATGGAGTCATAAACTCCGGCGGAGCAAGGAGATTAGGATCTTTAAAAGTGAATAGGGCAACTGGCTGATGGCTCATCGAAGGAATACAGGCTGGCAGGTCAAGTTGTGGCAGTGGTTCTCTCGTGGAACAATGCGGCAAGTTATCCCAGCACGTTTCACTGACGTTGAAGCCTTCACCCAGCATTTTTGGACCAAACTGCGCTGTCGACTGCCAACGATAAGTGACATAATTTGATCAGATGCTCTGGACAACTTGGGTTCCTACTCTCTGTGAATTCTACCACTGTGGTGGTGGAAGGGACATCCGTCCACTCTTGTAGCCTCTCAAATGGATGATAAAGCATTATTTTGCATCAATTTGTCCAATTATGATTTAGAGATGAATCTCTGCACTATATTTGGCTTTTCCCTTCTTCTCCACCCTCTCCTACACCTTCAATTCCCTTCCATCTGCAGTTCGATTAAAGAGATACGGCGGATGCTGTTGATGGCTTAAATCGTAGCCACAACGGAAGGATTTTTGGAGGCACTGCAGCATAGGGAAGCCGGATTTCACTGCAAAAGTTTTATATCACTGACGGTGGAGCCAAGTCATCTCCTCATTCCAGTCTACAGACGACTTTTGACCAACCGACTACTTCATGATGGTCAAAGTACAGAAAGAGCGGTTACAAGAAGTGCCACTGGGTACTTATTACAAATGCATCTCTCAGCTCGTGAGGCCATCCCTCCTCTTTGACGATGTTCAACGACGCCTTATGATGAAAAAGAACATCTTGTTCAACAGTCGGGGATGAAACAAGCATTATGAGGTCTCCGATGAGGGCACAGAACTTTCCCCGAGTTGTGGGGCAACACACCCGATATAACAGGAATAATAACTTCATGTGCTGCATAAAAACTGCATCAATTTAGAAGAGGGGACTGTGAAAAGATGATGAACAAAAATTTCTAAGAGAAGGACTTCAGTTTAAATACGGATTTTGAACATACCAATGAGATCTTGGATATATCAGCAGAAGGGTGATCTAAAAAAGGGGGAAAAAGGATGCAAAAAATGAAACTATTTCGACGCAGATGGATGGATGGGTACGGCATGGATGGATACCAAATGGACCAAATTGGACTCAGGTTCTGAATTCATTAAATGAATTAATAAATGGACAAGTGTGAATAATCTCCGATACCAGCGGTAAGGTTGATTTGCAGACTTGGTGACTGTCTTGGCGGTTCCGTCAACTCCTCAAAGTTCGTCGGTAGTGGTGACGTTCGTGGAGGCGGTTGGGTATTCGCCGCCTCCTGACCCAGGTCAAGAGAGAGCTCCTTCACATCGGTGATATTGAATTTGGCAGTTGCCTCGGAGACGCTAACCAGAGGCAACCAGTGAAAATTGCTCTAGACAAGGAAAAGTTAAGGAACAATGAAAAAACGGACCTGTAAGCATCACCCCCATTACTGTAACTCATCACCACTGGTGAAGTTACTCGATGCAAAACACCACAGATTGCTGACATTGG